ACACCCAATCGGCTTAGTGCACTAGAGTCCGGGTGCACTAGAGTCTTAGTGTGCTAAACTCCTGGACTCAAGCAATCCTTCTGGTTCAGCCTCTTCAGTAGCTGGAATTACAGGCTCACACCACTGCACTCTACAGTTTTTTGTTTCTATGCAGGATGAAATAGAATAAAGCCTTGCTTTTCTTAAACCTAGTATTAGCTATATCCCAAGTATCATCTGCCATTGCTGAGAACCCAGAACTAAATAAACAGTTGAGGAGATGAGCTTTCATTTATAGCTTTACTTGTGAAAGGTTGATCTGGCTTTAGTTTTCTTTGGCCATCAGTTTCTAAAAGTTCTTAAAAGTTTGTTTCCCAATCGAGTTAAATGAAATTAGCTAGACAGTTTTGACTATTGCTAAAAAGTCAAAAAGAAAAAAACTGTAAGAGATTTTGTTGAGGGCAAGAAAGCAAATTATAAGAATATGATTGGTGTTTTTAATTCTATAACTAATTTTGCACAATGCTATGTTTTGTTGTGGATGAGAGGTGAAAGTGACATTAGAGATTTCTCTCAGGTTAAATAAGATTTCATTGCTTTTGGGTAGTGAGCAGACATACAGAAGGATGTTCATTTAATCTCCAGAGAAAGTTTAAATGGGTTTCTGAGTGTGCCAAGAGATAACTGTTCAGGTTTAGTTTATAAGCAGGATTCCTTAGCCAACATTTTTATTTCCCTTTTTATAGTTTCTAAAATAACATTAGCTCTAACATGCCTAACAATCTCAAGAAAATATATCCTAGTTTGTGATATGCACTCTCTGTAATGGTTTACCATCACTTTAGACTTCAGGAATAAGGTTCAGTAATTTTAAAACTCAATGCCGTGACATAGAAAACTACTGGCATTATTAACTTTCAAATCAATGAGGAGAGCAGAAGAATGTTTTAACAAAAGAGCTAATGGCTGTTTTCTTTAACCTATGGTTGGAATAATTAAATAGCATGGACTTTTCATCCAACGCTAAAAGTAAAATGGAGAGTCTGATGTTTAATATCTGAATCCTGTAGAGGATATCGCTGGCACATGTGTAATAGGTTTCAATTTTCTTCTTCTTTTCTTAAACAGATATTCTTCCTAGCAGCACCACATGATTCTTATTATTTAACATTTATTTAGTAGTGGCAATTGATTTGGCTCTGCATTGAATGTCAGAGAGTAGGGATAATTCCTTCCTGGTGGGCATAATATAAAAATCAGGCAAACCAAACTTCCATATTAAGAGATAATTATCCATGATATGAGGCAGAGGCAGAGCACGACACAGGTGCTCTGTTCTTTCAGGAGGCATCTTAAACAAAAATGGAGGCGAGAGTGCCCACAACCTAGTGCTGTCATCTGGAATGCTGGTGAAATAAGCTCCTAGAGCTGACTTAAAAGGCACAGCTGAACTGAGCACAAAGAGAAACCAACGGGCTTGTGGATGTTACTGTGCCTTCAATGAAGCTTTAACTCAATAATATGACGATTTAAAAGCAGATGTGGTTTTCCTAACATTGTTACAGTTTCAACCACCCAGCTATTTTGCTCCTTTGTGATTTTGAATGAATTATTGATAAGGAATACTTCAAAGGTGTGCAAAAAATTCTTTTGCATTTAGCATTTATAAAACAATGATGTTGATGGAGGGAAAAAGAAAACCACTGTCAATATTTCTCTGAGACTAAACAATAACAAAGTGCCTTCAGGATTCATTTTAATGAGAAATACTAGTGTGGCTCTGTGGAAATCTCGGGACAAGCAGTGCACACTAGCAAATTAATTATAGGTTGGCAGCCAGGCAAATGTAGGAGGCTTATGGTGGCACTGTAGAAAATAAATATTATTTTAATCAGCAATACTGGCTTATTTCCTCAAAGGTAACATCAACCTTTAAATGTACAAGTCACATATATGTAGAAAACGATTTCAAAACAAGGGGTGCGTGGCTTTTCTGACGGCTATTTTCAAGTTAGTATTTGCACAAGGTTTCCTCAAAATAAGGCACAACTGATCCCTTAGTCTTGTCCGTGGTCAGAGAACAGGGTCATCATTACCGACAGCATTTTATCTAAGCCTGACTCTGATCTGTGCTGGAGGAGACATTGACTTTCATGATGGTTTTATGGATCGATGATTCAGGTGGTTCTCCAGATAGCTCTGCTGGATTCCTGGGCCCTGTTTGCAAGTCAAAGCTGCGTCTCCTCCCCTAGGTGGAATTTCTCAGTTCAAGGATTCACTTCTTAGCTGCCTCCAGCTCCTGCAGTTGGCAGCTGACGGGGCAGCCCTGTTAATGCAACCAGAGTGTTTAAAGCGGCAGGTGATAAGAGACGCTGGGATTTTAACAGCATAATGAATTAATTCGCAAACTCACTGAGCACAAATGATAACTTTGGTACAATTTCTAGTTGCAATTAGGAGGGGACTGCATTGTTTTACAGGATAAAGGTATTAGTCCTGATTCTTGTAATGTAATGTGTACTATACTGGTATCTTTGAGAAAAAGCTAGTTTCTGGATGTGTGAATTTGCCCGTGACCAACTCCTGAAACGGATGCAAATTAAAATGAGCGATTTCTGTGATAGTGAATGTGCTGTAGCGTAACCTCTATACCCAGAATCCTAAGAGGGGGCTGGCAGAGTCTCAGAATTTCATTTTGCCTCAATGCTTATCCAAAAGCAGCATAACCAGCCCCTGTTCAAATGTATCCCAAACTTTTATTATATTTTGAGTTCATCCAGCCTGAGCGTGCAATCTTCATTTTGTACTTCAACCTGTAACTATTTCAGTGGCTGCCTTCAGAATCAACAAATTTGAGATGACTTTTAATTTCTGAGATGACTTTTAATTTCTGTGTCCATTGTCCAAGAGAATCGTTCATATCTTCACCCACTATTTCTGGTGTTCCCCCAAAATATTTCTAGCAGAAGAAATACAATTTTAAATACCAACAAGTTTTAGAAAAGCAAATTCTACTCTTATCAGAATTTGATTGGCATTATTAACAGTATTTTCAAAAAGAAAATTGTGAGTTTGTGTTAACGAAAATGTATGCTAATGTCTTTTTAAGAATTATTTACCATTATTTTTCTCTTTAGATTGCTGTTCTACTAAAAGTAATCAATAAAATCTATTGTTACCTGTAGAATGCTCAGATAAGTACTAGGTATACATGGCTAATTAAAAAATATCATTTGATGATAATAGTGGTGATAGACATAATGATAAAATACTTGTTCTTTCAGATGACTGACTTATGCTAAAATGATATATTCATTCGATACAATGAATATTCAATGCAATTTAATAAATATTCATTGGACACCTGTGCTAGGCCCTAGGGATATTAAGATGAGAAAGATTCAGTATTTTGAAAGATTATATTGTTACAAATATTCCCTCCTTTTCCTATAAGAGGATTATACTTCCTGCCTGTGGCCATGTACCTTGCAGTGTGTCCTGAGGGAAGGGAATATGTATACTTCTCTATTATTGACCATGTGACTAATTTTAGCCAATGACCTGAGTGGACATGACTCATGCTACATCTGAGAGGCATTGTATGTTTCTCGCAACATTCTTACTTTTTTCTCTCTTCTCAAGAATGGCATATCTCAAAAAGGAGCTGCTCCTAATCTGAAACACAACCCTGCCTTTAATCTGAGTCCTGGAGAGAAAAGATTAAACAAAGCCACAGCAGTTGACTACAGCTGCCAATGTGTAACAGGTCTGTTGTTGTAAGTTGCTGAGACTTTGGAAGTTGATTTTTCACCATAGGAAGCTAACTAAAACACTTTACATGGTATTAAACTACAGTACCTTAATTCTAAGGCACTAAAAGTTGTGATAAACTGCACATAAATTTATGACCCAAAAAGAACTAGTTCTAGTCTAAGAATCTACAAGCTCAAGTTATGTAACATTGTCAAGATGTACTGTGAGCAAATTACATCTGGGTTGTTCTGCCCAGATTTGGATACTGACAAATTATAGTGAATTAATTGTGTAGCTATCTCCATTGAGTGTTTAGGTTACCAAAAAGAATAACTCTGCCATAATTTAATTGTCCTAGATGTACAGATCTGGCCCAAGTCAATTGGTAGTTCAAAGTCAAAGCTGATATGCTTTGTTTATCCAGTGGAATGAAAACTAAGGCTTTTTTTCAGGACAGTTAACATGCCAGAGATACATATCCACTCATTTCTAATATCTCTTGATGCTTCTCAATAATTAGGTATCAACAAACATTTGCATCTCTCCTCTCTTTCTCCTCTTAGGGTCTGGGTTACCGTGGATGGAGAGAACTTCTGCCTGAACAGAAAAAATAGACAGTGTGTGTTTTGTCATATGTGTGTTTGCCTGCATCTGAGAGAGAGAGAAAGAGAAAGGAAAGTGAGGGAATAAAAGGTTTAACTCAGTTCACACTGTATTATACTTCCTTGAGAGTTCTCTTATGCACCTGAAAATATCAGGCACCAGATGAAAATCCCATAATATTGTAAAGAAAATAAAGTTTATTTAACATATTTATTTTTGTTGTGTCTTTTCAGAATGTTTTCCTATACACCCTTTGCCAACTGCCTTTCCTTAGACTTGGATGCCAGGACGCAGGCTGTGGTAGATACTGCTAATGCTCGCCTGTGTTTGGCCCTCTTGTTGTCCCTTGGAGCATGGCACACTCCATCTCCCACTGCCCCACAGCTGGGTCGGTCATGTGATGGGTTCTAGCCAATGGACCTGAACAGGGGTGATACAGTCACTCCCTGGGCACGGCTCTCCAGAGGTCCTTTCTCTTGTTGCAGTTACCTTGGAAGACTCATGCTGAGAGGCCAGTGCCACCAGATGGAATTTGGACAGATCCCCAACTCACTGCTTGGACTTGCAAAAGACTTTTTGGGAGGAAGACATAGGTTTTTATGATTTCTGAACACTTCTTACTTTTTTGCCTTGGAATTAGTTGCTTTTTCTTTTTCTTTTTTTTCTTTTAATTACATTTATTTTAATGCTGAATTTACTCCTGTGCCATAAGTTTTTGTTTCTTCAGTTTCTTCTGGGATATCTTTTCCTTCTGGGCAACCTCCTCTTCTGGTTTAGGAACAATCTGTTCCTTTTCAGTAAGGACCATCTCAATGTGGCAGGGAGAGCTCATGTATGGGTTAATCCAACCATGAGCTCTGTAGGGCCGGCGGCGAATCTCAGGTGCTTTGTTCACTTGGATATGCTCAATGACCAGAGAATCTACATCTAAACCCTTAAGTTCAGCATTACTCTCTGCATTTTTAAGCATGTGCAGCAAAAATTCAGCACTCTTTTTGGGCCACCGACCTTGTGTCCAGCCTCACTGCTTGGCCTGGGCACACCTGCCATCTCCACCATTGTAATGTCGGAATGGTACGCACTGTTTCTGTAAAGTGACATCAGATACTTCGTGGCTTTTCATGTATGCATACCCTTGACGGCCTGGGCAGTTTCACGAGTGTTCTTGAAGTGAACACGAAGACTGGAACCTCTTGATTTGCATGATTTCCTGGAGTTCCCTGGGTCAAGTGAATAGCGAATCATTTTCACAGATTACCTCAGGCCGCTTAGGGAAAGAGCTAGTTGCTTTTTCAAATCTGTCCTTCCTTCCTTCTTTTCTTTCTTCTTACTTTTTTTCCTTCTTTCCTTTATTCCAAAAGCATTTATGAAACCAGGATCTATGCTGGGATTACAGTGACAAACAGTAGAGTCATACTACTGCCCTTATGGATTTATAGGGGAGTGAGAATAGCACACATTTAAAACATTTTTTCCCTGTACTAACCAATCTATCAAACTATCTCACTTAATCCTCATAACAACACTGTGAAATAAGACTTATTACTATCTCTATTTTATAGATAAAGAAACTGGCCTTCAGAGAAGTAAATGACATACCTTGAATCATACAGACAGTGAAGGGCAGAGTTGGGCTTCAACCCTGAGCTGCTTGTTGTCAAAGCCTTGATGTTAAACACCAGGCTATAATAAGGAGTAGCTTTTGGTTATCTGGAGAGTTTGATGCAAACTCATCATTATTATTACAGATCTGTCAAAATTAGAGATTTCTCCCCTCTTTGGGCAAGAGTTTGTACTTTGATATTTTGATCATAATGAAAAGGATATCAAGAGAGTGGGACCAAAGAGTTCCATTCCCCTTACTCTCTGTCTGAAACAATGCCCAGCCATCTTCCAATATTGCCCTCAGTGCTTTCATCCCTCTCTTGAAGGTGGGATTCGTCATCTGTGCAGATAGCTTCATGAATCCACTGCTGGGGTGGCTAACAAAGTGGTGGGCAAGAGGAGGTTTTCTTACAATTTTCAGTCAAGCCCCTGTGAGGATAGAATTTCTGTCAAAGGAAGGGACAGTAGCGACCCTCTTTCCAGGGGGAAGATCTATGCACCAGTGAGGATGTCTAATTACAACTTTAAAACAATATTGTTTGTAATACAAAGTGAGACCTTTCTCCCACTTATTTATGATTTTCTTTTTCCATCAAAGGAGCAAGCAGGACTTTGAAACAAATCAAGTTTAAGTGAAAATTTTCAATGTCACTGCCTCCCGCCCCCCACCGGTGACTTATAAACAGCTTATTTTACTGGAAGGGGCACAGAAAACTTTGGCTTTTTACTTAAGGACATTTGATAATAGTCACTGTTTGTTAATTTCAGTTGCATCTCCTTAGTAGCAAATTCTCAGGTTCTCAGGTCCTTTAGGGCCACCCTCAACTCCTGCATTGCTGATAACAGCAGTGTTTCTCAAAGTGTAGACCATTGATCACATCAGATCATCTGAGTCTTCAAAAATGCAGATTCCCAAGTCTCATTATAGGTTTGTTGAGTCAGTCTCTGTTGATATTACCTCCTAGCACTGAGCATTTTCTCAAGGTCCAAGGTGGTTATCATGCACACACTTAAGTTTGAGAACCAGTGTACTGGCACCTAGAGTCTCCTGGCAAAGGTTTTGCTTTCACAAAGAGCAAACATTTTAGCTTTTTATTCTTGTCCTCCTTCCCCTGTCCCACTCTGTTTTAACCCATTTATGGAATAGTCTTACAGAACTTATAACAATAAATTTTTCATTAAAAACGATCTACTGGCCAGACATGGTGGCTCATGCCTGTAATCCCAGCACTTTGGGAGTCCGAGGCGGGTGGATCACCTGAGGTCGGGAGTTCAAGATTAGCCTGACCAACATGGAGAAACCCTGTCTCTACTAAAAATACAAAATTAGCCAGGCGTGGTGGTGCATGCCTGTAATCCCAGCTACTAGGGAGGCTGAGGCAGGAGAATCGCCGGGAGGCGGAGATTGCAGTGAGCCAAGATCATGCCATTGCACCCCAACCTGGGCAACAAGAGCGAAACTCCATCTCAAAAACAAAAAACAAAAAACGAACAAACAAACAAACAAAAAAAAAGATCTGCTTAGAATGGAATAAACATTCTTTTTAGGGCAGAAATCAAATATAGGACCTTTGGGAAACCACAGCTTTCTTTCTTGATCTCCATTAGGCATATTGAAAGACAGTTTCTCCCCTTAAAAGAAATGTGCTTACAGACTAAAAAATCTCTCTTTAAATAGTTTCGAAAATTAGATTCACTGCCTTGTGCATCCATATTACCTCAAGCAGGCACCTGCAAAGATACCAAATGGAAAGCCGACCAGAAGAAGGTGAAGTTCAGGTTCATTTTGTACATCCTTCAACAATGTTTCACTATTGTGCTTTCTTCTTTTGCATTTGTTTGCTTGGCACACATTTTTCCTTTCACTCAACCACCTCCCTATACCCGTTTCTACATTTATTTTAAGCAAATATTTAGGTTTTGAGACCAAAAGACTCTTCAGACCATTTACAATGAAGCCCAGGACTCAGAAGGATTAGCAAGAGGGAGGAAGAGGTGAAAGCTAGGCTCTCCCTGGTGCATTTGAGGAAGACTGGGTTTACTAGAAGAAATGTAATGATCAAAACTCACATACCTGTGGGAGGCTCAGTGAGGAAACATCATTCCAAATGTGTAGTGGAAAAATTACCCAAAGTTACAGGAAAAGAAAAAAACCAAAACCAAAACAAACAAACAAACAAAAAACACCTCCTGGCTGCAGCAAGTTACGTAGGCTATGAATTATTTTATTGAACAGCATTAAGTGCTTTCCTGTTGGAAAACGAGGGACTTATTAATTATTTTAAGTTCAAAGTAATTAAGTCAGGCACTGTCAGGCTGACACGGTTTTCTCAGCAGGCGGCTGGATTCATTCAGCAAAGTGAAGGATTTTTCGCATATGCTGGGCTATAGGTGAGCCAGTTGGTAAATATGTGACATCTTTTAATTATACCTCATTGCAATATGTAGCTTGTCTTATGAATTATGTGATCATTTGTTGCTTTCTCATGAAAGAGAAGATATTGTTGAGTTTCCCTAGGAAGGACGTAGAGGGAGGAATGGGGGAGTGCCTGAGTTCATGGAAAGGAGGAAAATCACCTCTGTGGTAGGTACTTGTCCAGATTATTTTAGGACCTGACCTGCATGTGACCTCCTATTGTAAGTTCTGGGAAAGTTTCTGTCTCCACTGGCTAGCAGTTGTGAGAAAAGATTTTCTAGCAGGCCACATCAGGACTGGATGGTAGGAAAGACTGAAAAGCTGTCTCTAGTTGACCTCCCTTCTGGGCTTTTCCTAGAAGCCTTCCTGGTGACCAGCTGCCTAGCTAGATTCCAGGTGCATGATGGAGAGCCTTTTGATATGGACAAGAGACAGAGAAATACTGGGTCGAAGACAGCTGTTCCTGGTAAAAGCCCCACCCTCAAGCCTGAAAATCCATGACCCTAAGTGGGAGCAGGTATTCCTGTTTGAACACCAAAAAGTTGCCTTTTGGCCTGCTATGTCTGTACCCATTTGGCCCCTATTCTGTACCCATATAAACCCCAAACCCCAGGCTCCACAAACAGATTAACAGAAGAGCAGAATGACAGAGGAGAGAAGAAAAGAAGCATTTGAACGTCGAGAGGAGTCTGGCTGGGGATGGTGGGAGAGGAGATAGGCTTCTGGGTGGTCAAACTCTAAAGGAAGATCATTTTCCCACTCCATCCCCTTTCCAGCTCCCCATCCATCCTACTGAGAGCCACCACCACCACTCAGTAAAACCCCCAAATTCACCATCCTTCAAGTCCATGTGTGACCTGAATTTTCCTGGACACCGGACAAGATCTCAGGATACAGAAAACTGTCACACTGGCCCTCTGCCCTCGTGAAAAGGCAGAGGGTCCACTGAGCTGTTTAACACTTAAGCCATTGGTGGATGGCAAGGCTAAAAGAGCACCCTGTAACACACACCCACTTGGGCCTTGGGAGTTGCAGGCTCCCACCCCTAGACGTTACCATGGGACCGGAGTCCAAAAGCACTTGCCATAGCTCCTGCACCTGCCTGTCTACATGCTCCCCCTACTGTAAGGGATTTGAGCGCATGAGCAGAAGAACCACGTCCCTGTTACATATCCTGTGAGGGGGGCCAGGGAACTCTCCCATTGCACTTTGAGCTCATATTTGCTTAAAAGAGGAACAGGGCAAAAAAAAAAAAAAATTGAAAATCAGGGATTGAAGAGAAATTTGCAGCTGGAGAGATTGACTTCAACATGGCTGCAAAAGTTTTCTAAGATGTTTATCTTAAAAGGCTGAAAGGTCCCTTTCAGAACAATAGGTTTCCAACTCTTTCTTCCATCAATTTGATAAGGTTGAGAACAAATTTTTCTTTGTCATTCTTATTCAACGTCCCACACCCCTACCACCCCCAATCCAACACCAAGTGCCTACTGCTCTATCAGCCCTCTGTGTAACAGAGCATGTTTGTATCCTCAGGTTGCCATATGTTGTTCATTTGTCTCTGGTCCTCCAGTGTTTGGGAAATTTTCTTTTCTGGACTCAAAACTTATTTGTTCTTCCTCTCTGCCTTCTGCTGAATAATAACTAACTAATAATGACATTTGTACTAATGTGTTTATCTAGTCATTAATTTATTTAAATGCTATTAATTTACTGCCTACTTTATGCCCTGTGGAAATGATACACAAGACAAATGTGTTCCCTCCTTCCTGGAACTTATCTTCTTGTGTGAAAAGAAATCTTTCCTGGCTCCCGTATGTAGAGACCCTGCACTTCGTCCTCAAATTCAAGAAGGCAAGAAGTCTTATATTAACTTAAAAAAAAAATTTCATGTAACTTCAAATTCAATCCCTTACCTTATTGAGCTGGTGGAAAATTCAATCTAAGTTACTTTTATTGTAATGGTCTATAGTATGTTTATACACAGAAATAGGAAACCAAAGTAGCCCCCCTCATCCCCTACAATAGAGTTCTCTCTACAAAATATAAATAATTTAGTGGCCACAGTGGGGAAGGGGGGAAGAGTACAACATGGAAGGGAAGGGTTCAAATTTCTTCCAGCCCTCTGGGTGAAGAACAGGGGGCAGGGAGGGGCAGGGGTAGGGAGAGGAAACCATCAGCGCTGTGAGATGGGGGACACAATGAGTGGCCCTAGAGGGAGACTACA